TTTTAAATATTTATTTATTTTTTTTAGTTTTCGGCAGACACAACATCTTTGTTTTTATGTGGTGCTGAGGGTCGAACCTGGGCCGCAGGCATGCCAGGGGAGTGCGCTACCGCTTGAGCCACATCCCCAGCCCCATCCTTTTTAATTTTATTTTGAGCAGGGTCATTTTGTGTTGCCCAAGCTGGCATAACTTTCCATCTTCCTGCCTCAGACTCCTGAATAGTTGGGATCATAGATGTGTGCCACCATGTCCATCTTTCTTCATTATCTATTAGGATGGAATATTCATTTCAAATTTAAATGAATAGATACTATCTATTATTGTTACTGTTGATTTTAATGCTGATGTTCTCCCAGATTTGGGCACTGATAGCTTCTTCAGGCTTGCTACTGTATGTTAATATTGCTTTTTTTCTTGTATTTTTGTCACTTTCTGGCATAAAAGGTTTTCTATGTTCATTTTGTGCTTTTCATGTTCACACCCTGAAATGAGCCATTTTTCTTCAAGGAAACTGGTTCCTATGGGAATGAATGGTGTTTAGAAATCAAGATCTGGATTCCAGGTGTGGTCATTGCTCCTTGCATGTAGTTCTGTTTACTCTTTCACCAGATTGGATTAAGAAATATTTAATTTCATATTCTTGAAATTTTGAGTTCATTCTTATAATTTAGCAGAGTTTTTTGTTTTTGGTGTTTTTGTGCTAGAGATTGAATCCAGGTCCTTGCAAATTCTATTAAGTATAGTCCCATACCTATAATGTGTTTATTGGTTTATGTTTTTGTGGTGCTGGTGAACCAACCTGGGCCCTCACCCATGTGCTTTACCACTGACCTATCTGCCTAGCCCCCCCCCCCCCCCCACTATAACTTAAATTCAATACTACAGGGTTTTTGTTTTCTCCCATTTTCTGTTTATATCTCCTTTCTTCATTGAGAACTTTGCTCAAAACATTTGTATATTTAATTTTTGAAAATAAACCAACTTGCATTCCTGGAACAGAGTCCACATGTCCATGATAAATTATCCTGTATATATTGGTGGATTTAATATGCTAGTGTTTTGCTAAATTTTTTTTGGCTTATGTTCACTTGAGATCATGTTCTATATATTTTATTAAATCTGTTGTGGTTTTTAAAAATCATGATATATATTGGCTTCATAAAATTGGGAACTAATTGATATTTTTTTCTGTTTTCTGATGAATTTGGTAATTTTTAAATTGATATTGTTGTTTGATAAAATTTACTCATAAAGCCATTGGTCCCTGCAAGTTGTCTTAGGTTTTAAATTATGAATTCAGTATTTTTAGTAGACGTGACAATTCAGATTTCTTATTGTGTCAGTTTCAATAATTTATGTCTAAAGGAATTTGTTCATTTTATCTGAATTGTTGGTTTTACTAGTATGAAATTTCTGATTCTCTTACTGTCCTTTTAATGTTTGTAGGATTTGTAGTGATATTGTGTTTTTTGACTTATTCCCCAAGAGAATATATATTTTCATGTTATTGATCTCAAAGAATCACCTTTTGATTTCACTTTTTCCCCTCCATTGTCCATTTCTTATTTCAATGACTTTTTTGCTCACATCTTTCTATGTATTTGGAATTAATATATTATTCTTTTGCTAGCATCTTAAATTGGAACTTTTTTTTTCTTATATAAGCACTTAGAACTGCACATTTCTCTTTTAAGAATTTGAATTGGATTCCACAAATTTTGATATGTTGTTTTCATTATTAAATTTAAAATACTTTCTAATTTCCTATTTGCTTTTTTGATTCATAGATAGGCATATGTTGTTTACTTTCCAATTATTTGGTATTTCCCCAAACATTGTATTGTTATGTCCATTGTGGTTAGAGAATATTCTCTGTATGAGTCTAACTTTTAGATTTTAAGACTTTTTTATGGCCTAGCTTGAGTTAGTAAATGCTCCATTTGTGCTTGAGAATGTGTATTCTGTTGGATGTAGCTTTTTTTGAAATGGAATTTGGCCATGTTGGTGTTGCGGTTTAGATATGAACCCAAAAGCTCATGAGTGAGACAATGTAAGCAAGTTCAGAAGTGAAATGATTGGGTTATGAGTCTTAATCTAATTAGTGCATTAATCCCCTGATAGGGATTAACTGGGTGGTAACTATCTGTAGGCAGGTATGGTGTGGCTGGAAGAGGTGGGTCTTTGGAGTATATATTTTGTCCTTGGAGACTGCGGGGAGTAGGCAGGGGCATGCTCTCTCTCTCCCTCTTTCCCTCCCTCCTCTCTGCCTCCTGGTGCCATGCCCTGAGCTGCTTTCCTCCACACTCTTCTAGTATGACGTTCTGCCAATCCCTGGGCCCAGAGCAGTGGAGCTGAGTGTCTGTGGACTGAGACTTCTGAAACCCTCAGTGCCAGATAAACTTTTCCTCCCCTAACGTTGTTCTTGTCAGGTCTTTTGGTTGCAACAGTGAACAAGTTGGTCACTAAACACTAAAACAGTTGGTCAGGCTGGCCTCAAATCCTAGCCTCAAGTGATCCTGCTTCCTCAGTCTTTTGAGTATCGGGACTCTGGGGTGCATGCCACTAAGCCCGCAGGATATAACATTCGATGTGTCAAATTGGTCAAGTTGTTTGATAGTGTTCAAGTTTTATATATCATGTACTAATGTTTTATTGATTACTAAGAAAGTCATTGGGGTTTTATTTATGGTTTTGTTAATCCTTTCACTTCTGTCAGATTTTGCTACATGTCTTTCGAATCTGTTATTAGGTATGTATATATTTGTGTCTTCTTAATGAGCTGACCTTATTATTATAGAATGTTTTCCTATATAAAAGAATCCTTTTCTTGAAGCTTATGGTGTCCGGTATTGTGTAGTTTGGTGTATAATAATATTGATGTATCATCTTTCTTATGACCTGTACTTGCATATTACCCTTTTCCTTCATTTTTACTTGTAACCCACATGTCCTTATATATAAACTGTTAAGGATTTTGTTTTTTCCATCTATTTAATATTCTGATTGTCTTAGCTCCATGTTTTTGTTTTTCATTTGTTTTTAGAATATTTCAGCCTTTGTCTTGTCAAATATTTTCTCAGTCCCTTTCTCTCATTTAAAAAAATTTCCCTTAAGTATTTTTCTATACCTTATTTATATAATTGATTTTAAGCAGAAGATACAGTTAGCATATGTTTATTTATCATGTCATAGTTTTACTTCTAATAATAAAAGCAAGACATATTTCTGGAAGAAAAATTTAAAAAAAAGAAAGAAAGAAAACTTACCTAGAATGTTCCTTTCATGGATAATTTTTTTTCCCCTTAAACTGGGGATTGAACTCAGGGGTGCTTAACCACTGAGCCACATCCTCATCCCTTTTTATGTTTTATTTAGAGACAATGTTTTGCTGAGTTGCTTAGGTCCTCCTTAAGTTGCTTAGGCTGGCTTTGATCTCTCAAACCTAATGCTTTCAGCCTCCTGAGCCCCTGGGATTATAGGTGTTTGCCATTGCACCTGGTGCAGATGGAAATTTTAACTTGTGTTTATTTTTACATAGTTATAATCCTCCTGAATACACAACTTTTGTTGTTGTTGTGGTGGTGGTGGTAAAAGACCCAATGTAAAATTGACCATCTTAACTATTTGTAAGTATAAACTAAGTGTTAACTGAGTTCACATTATTGTGCAACACATCTCTGGAACTTCTTGATTTTTTTTTTTTTTTTTTTTGTATGAAACTGCTTTTTTTTAAAAAAAATTTTGCATTCTTTAATTTTGGAGGAAAATAAAACAACAACAAAAAACACAGTACAACATCTAACTCTGCTGCCAAACTAGATAGGGGATAGGGGCTTGAAGCCCTCGTTTCTTGCCATAAGATGCCAAGGACAGGAGAAAACCCACTAGAAAATCAATCAGCAGAGGAAGCCAGGTGGGAAAGGGCCATTCAAGGAGCCTTGGGGACACTATATAGAGGTCAGATTTCTCAGTGGCAACTCCTAACCTACTACTATTAGGCAAGAAAAACTTTATAACCATTGAATAATTCCCCTGTTCCCTTTTCTCCCAGCCCCTGGTAAGCACAGTTCCATCTTCTATTTCTAAGAGATTGACAATTGGAAATCTTTTCATCAAGACTTTTTATGTGTATATCACTCTTCATTAGTCCCACAGAAAATGTCATAACCAGAGGAGCAAAGGATTTACTTGTTCTTACCTTGAGGAATGGAATTCCTTTTTCATAATTTTTAGTTATATTTTAGTACTCTTAAAGTCCCCACATCTTTTTAACTGCTTACAAACTCATCTTATCCAAATGGATTAATATTTACCTTCCTTCTAATCTATAGTAGGTCTTAAACAGAATTGATTGCTGTATTTCTTAAGCTGAAACTCTCTGCTTTTGTTGAGTTAAAGACTCCCTACTTTGAATGAACAGATTATAAAAAGGTGCCCCTTCCTACTCCAGACTTGGTGCCTGCTCCTCAGCCCTCACTTTTCCCATTGGCTACATATCCTTGTACTATCTATACAGCTGTGTACAGTTCATGAGAGTCAGGAAAATTTCTTAGGTTGCTTTCTTAAAATAGAGGAGAGACTTCTAAAACATTACCAAGTAGGAAATCCATATGTGGCCACTGTTGGCATTTTTATTTTTGTGTTTATAAAAACAGGATCAATTTGAGCTGCTGCTTTTAACTTGTCTCTTGTTTTTAATGGAATGTCTATTACGGAGGTATTTTCATAAAAATTTACACTTACATTTATTAGAATATGAGGGAACTGTAAGGGTGTAGCAGTTGGAGACAATAAAACTAAGTGATTTAGAATTTGTGTTCTAGTGCTTTGCATATAAAGTACTAAAACATGTTTGTTGAGTGTTAAATTTTCTAGTATAAGTAAAATTGAATCGCTAAACTTATGACAGTGGTTTACCTATTCTGGAACAAATATATCCTGTGAATTAACGTACCCTATAATTAAAACACTAAAAAACTTTATAATTTTTGTTCCATAGGTATACTGCAACACCCAGATGGCACAGTTTTGAAACAGTTACAGCCACCTCCAAGGGGCCCGAGAGAGCTGGAATTTTATAATATGGTAAGTAAGGTAAGATTTGTTTGTTGCATTAAAAGTGTTTTTCAGAGTTTTTTAGTGGTGACTCACGGTAAGAAATATGTTTGACAGCCTGTCTTAGTTCACTATGTATAATAGAAACAAAAACTTCATGAAAAACAATGCTTTTTTTTTTATGGTACTGGATGCAGTGTAGTATTTTCTGTTCTATTTCATTTCTCAAAGGTTCTGAGTCATTGAATTGATTTCAACTTGGGTAGTGACCCACAATATGATAAACACTAACTGAGTGTCTCCATAGTGTCAGAAATGTTAACTTACATAAGTGTTTTTACTATAGAATTTCTTAAAAATGCTAATCTGCATTGTGAATCTCTAAAAGGGAAAGGAAAACATCTGGTTAACCATTATGACTAGGAATGTTTTTTTAGTACATTCATAATATTCCGTGATCATCACCTATATCTAATTCCAAAACATTCTCATCATCCAGAAGAAAACACTCTACATATTAAACCACGATGCTGCATTATTCTTTATCCCAGCACCTTAAACCATTAATCTGCTTTCTAATGGGCTTCCCTGTTCCCATTTCATATAAATGGAGTCAGACAAAATGTGGTCTTTTTTCCCTTAGCTTTCATTTTCTGTAATGTTTTTAAGGTTTATGTACATTACAACATACATTAGTGCTTCATTTATTTTTATAGCTGAGTAACATTCCATCATGCATATATACTATATTTTGCTTACCCACTCACCTGTTATGGATGTTTGGGTTGTTGCACCTTTTGGCTTTTGCTAATAGTGCTGTGAACATTCATGTACAAGTATTTCAGACTTATTTCTACTTTTTGATATATACTTAGAAATGGAAATATTAGGTTAATTGGTAAAACTGTTTCCTAAAGTGGCTGGACTATTTTATATTTCTTCAGCACTGTATGAATGTTCTAATTTTTCTACATCCTCACCAACATTTCTTATTTTGTCTTGAGTGGAATTCTAGTTATTATAAAATGTTAATCTCAATGTAGTTTGTTTTGATTTGCACTTCTTTAATGGCTAATGGTGTTTAGCATCTTTTCATCTTATTTGCTATTAATATATCTTTTCCAATGTATGGAAAAGATGCCTTTCTGCAGGTTGTCTTTTCATTTGCTTTCTAGTGTCCTTTGAAGCACAAACTTGATTTTTTTTTTGTGTGTGTGTGTGTGTTCATGTGTATGTGTGTGTGTGTGATATTGGAAATTGAATCCAGGACCTTGCAGTTTAGCATGTGCTCTACCGTCCAGCCCCAACCCTTTTCTATTCTGAGACACGGTCTCACTATGTTGCCTAGGCTGATCTTGAACTTGTGATCCTCCTGCCTTAGATTCCTGAGTAAGCTGGGATTACAGACATGCACCACGACAGCCAACAACCTTTTGAATAGGTAAAGCCCAGTTTACCTATTTTTTTTCCTTTTGTTGCTCATGCCTTTAATATCATATCTAAGAAGCCATTGTCTAATCTAAGGTCATGCAGATTTATGTTTTTTTGTTTTCTTTTAAGAGCTTTATAGCTTTAACTCTTAAAATTAAGCTTTGGATCCATTTTTATGAATGGAAGAAGGCATCCAACATCCTTTTGCATATGAATATCTAGTCATCCATTATTATTTCTTAAAATCGCTGTACTCTCCCCACTGAATTATTTTAGTAGCTTTGTCAAAATCAGTTGACTAAATGTAAAGGAGAAATGCTTAAAGGAATTCTGCCGGTAATGAAGGGTGAATTTGGAAGCAAGAGGCTGCAAATTGATATTGGTACAGACTGGTTTGTAAGTTCTCAATTCTGTTCCATTAGTCTAGATATCTATTTACACTCTTATTATAGCTGTGTAATAAGTTTTGAAGTCGGGAAATATGAGTCTTTCAACTTTATCCTTTTTGAAAATTGTTTTGGGTGTTCTGGTTTTCTTGCATTTCCGTTTGTGTCTTAGGATCAGCTTGTCAGTTTCTGCCAAAAAAGCCAGCTGAACTTTTTTTTTTTTATGAACTTTTTACATTAGTTTGGGAACTATTGTGGTTTTATCCTTTATTCTTTTAATACTACATATTGTGTTGATTGAATTTTACATGTTGTCAACTTTTCATTTTAGCAATAAATTGTAATTTTTTTATATGTCAGTGGCTTTGGTTTGCTAGTATTGCATTGAATATTTTGCATTCATAAGGGATGTTGGTCTGTATTTTTTTATAGTGCTGTATATGATTTTTTAAAGAATTCATCTACTTTAAAAGAACTTAGCTCAAAATAACAAATAATGTTAGACTTACATGAAAATTCTTTAAATGATGGGACACTGTAAAACCACTCTTCCATTTTCCAATTTATTGCCTCTCCGTTCCAAATTCACCCATCATTACTGCCTCTGTGATAATGAACTTAATCCTTGTAGCATTTCTCCTTTACAGTGAGATCATTGTTAAATATCCCCAGTAGAAGGCATCAGAGAGAGATTACAGGAGAAAGAGGCTGCAATATCTGTTGAAGATTCTATCTGTGTTCTCTTGGTCAACAGTATAGGTGAGGGTTTCTTGCTACAGTTGAATATCTGGAAATATGTATCCTCTGTGACCACAGAGCCCTGACCCAACCTGGTTATCACTTTGTGGCACTTCCAGCACAGAGGGCTTCTGTGTATGAATTTGTGCCCTGACTCCTTCATAGTCATTTCCTCTTCATATTTGTCTTCTGCCACCATCCTGGGATGGACATCAGGCATTCTAGGTTTCCTACCTATTATGGCAGACCAACTCTCCTTTGGGCCTGTGTTCTTGGTTACTCTCTGTGTGGTTGCTTCATGCAGGTCCAGTTGTGGGCCAGCTCTGGGTGGGTTAACTAAGTGGACTTCTCTGCTATCCATTGGGCTTCAGTTTTGCCTTCTGCAATGAGGTCTAGATATTTGTTCACACTCTGTTATTGTAGTTGTTTAGTAAGTTTTGAAATTGAGAAATATGAGTCTTTCAACTTCGTTCTTTTTGAAAATTGTTTTGTCTATTTTGGGTTCCTTGCATTTTGGTTTTCATGGAACCAAATGAGGTCTGCTTAGGAAATGGGCCTACTTTCCAAGTTTATCCTTCTTAAGCCAGAGAGTATCCTAGAGAATTCTCATTACATTTTCTGATTGCTCTATCATTGCTGCTTAGTAATTCTTTATACTAAATGTGCATTGCTTAAATCACTGAGGGCTTCTTTTTCATTATTGCCCCCAGAAATGATGCATGTTCTTTATGGGGAAAGTTATCTGTCAGTTGTGCAATACAATGTGGAATGCTTCTTGTGCATTTCAGAACACTTTATATTTTAACTCACCATGGTATGTAAATATATTTGAATAGAGAGCCCAAGTGCATATATGTGTGATTTCTTTCTTTCTTTTTTTTTGGTGGGGGAGGGCAGGTAAGGGTATTGAGAGTTGAACCCAGGATCACTTTACCACTAGGCTACATCCTCAGCCTTATTTTATTTTTTGATACAGGGTCTTGCTGAGTTACTGAGGGTCTATGGTTTTTTTGTTTTGGTTTGTTTTGTTTTTTGCTTGGCTCTATTGTTTTTCACTTGTACTGAATGCTTTATATAAGTGCATGGTAATTTTTCACTGGGAGTGCTTCCGTTGTTCCTATATTAAATATGTTTCTAGTATTTCTCCCCCTATTAAAGTTCTCTTAAGTTTAGGGACCATCTAGCAGAAGAAGATATCAGAAGTTTAATAGATAACAGTGAAAGGAATAGGTGGGTATATTCATTTGTTATGGCTCCCAGAAAAAGTAACACAGATTAGTTATGTAGAAATTTACTATTTTACTGTTTCGTAGGCTAGAAGTCTCAAATCGGGGTGTGGTTTCTTTTGAGGTTCTCTCTCTTTTTGTCTTGTAGATGGCTGTTTTCTCTGTCTTCTCCTGGTCTTCCCTGTGTGTGTTCATGTCCTATACTCCTGTTCTTATTAGAACACAATTATAACAACTTAGGGACTACCTTAATAACCTCATTGAATCTTAATTACTTTGTTTTTCTTTCCCAGTATTGGGGATCAAACCCAGGGCCTCACCATTGCCAGGCAAGCAGCCTACCAGTGAGCCACATTCCCAGCCCCCATTATTAAAGACTTTTCATATATCTTAGGTACTGGGGGTTGCAATTGGGTATATTACTTTCGGTGAAGCACAGTTCAGCCTATGATAATGTGTTGGATTCCTATGAAGTGAAAGTTTTGTTTTCTTTCTTTTTTGTGAAAAGTGACATATTACTGGAGCATAGGTTTTGGGATTGTACAAATTTGTGTTCTAATTTTAGTTCTAACATTTAGTTGTATGACTATGAACCATGACTGATTTTTCTCCAGGTTTTAAAATCCCGTGGATATATTAATACTGAATTATTAAGTCCCAGTGAGATTTAGATTGCATACAGTAATCTAGATAGCATGCTTGAATAATGTTGCCACATTCTTGCTTAATACACACATTTCTTTCTTAGTACACAATATTTTTCAGGGCTGTTTTTGTGGAGAGACAATAATGTATTTTCTTTTCCTTTCCTTTCAGTTTCTGGTAAAATGGATTCTATCATACCATAGACATTCTAGCAGTTAGCCCTAATGAGATATTACCTGTATAAATATGTAGGCTTACTTGTAAATTTGTTTGCAGTTTAGACTTGACTTAAAGCAAAGAATTTCCTTTCCCCCCATCAAACAGTTATATTTATTTGTCAATCTGGAATATACAAGCAGACTTAATAATCATTAAATTTGTATGGAATTGTAATTTTGAGGATGCATGAGATGCATTCCCTTGAATTAGAAATTGTATTCTGTCTGGGATATTAGGTCATAAATTTTGAGTATTGGGTTTTTTGGGGGGCAATATTAGTACTTTGTGTGGTGAGAATAGGTGGGTGTGTATATATTTGGGCAGCCATACGTTGTATATTTTTTGAACAAACCTGATTTATAATATTCTGTGCTATGTTTTCCTAAGTACACTTTTTTTATATTGTACCAAATTATAGGTTTTGACTTGCAAAATGTGGTCACCATTCTATATGTATATTCTATATTCAGGCATTTAGAGAACCTAATATGTTATTAGGTGTATTCATATTCTATTACTGTAACAAAATACCTGAGATAATCAGATTTTAAAGAGAAAAGGTTTATTATGGCTCACAGTATTAGAGGTATCAGTACATGATTGATTGGCTCTGTTCCTTAGGTTGTGGTGAGGCAACACATAATTGGGAGGAGCCTGTGGGTGGAACAAAACTTCTTACCCCTGCCCAGGAAGCAAAAGGAAAAAAAAAAAAAGAGTATGTAAAGAGATTGGGGTCCCACAATCACCTTTAAGGGTATGCCCCCAATTATCTAAGGGCCTCCTATATACTAGAATCTACCTCTTGAATGTTCTACCAGCTGCTGACTATACCAAGCTGGAGACCAAGCCTTTAAAACATGGGCCTTTGGAGGATATTTAGCATTCAAACTATAGCATCAGGTATCTCCAATTTCCTCACTTATTTTCAAGGCAGTGTATATAGTATGATGGCTCAGAGTTAAAGCAATAAGTCTCTTTTTCTTTCAGTTAGTTTCACTAATTAAAATTTGTGAATTTTAGTGAATTAATTACTAGTTCTTAGTTTCCCTACAGTAATAGCTAATAACGTGTACTGAATAAGCCAAGGTCTGTTCTACGCATTACATTAAAAAATCACCACAACCAATGATTTTCAAATGTTTTTTACTTTATTCCCTCATCATTTAAAAAAACCCCAAAAAACAAAATTATACATTAGTATTTAGAATAAAAATTATTAGCCAGGTGCAGTGGCACACATCTGTAATCCCAGGGGCTCAGGAGGCTGAAGCAGGAGGATCCTGAGTTCAAAGCCAGCCTCAGCAGTTTAGCAAGGCTTTAAGCAACTTAGCAAGACCCTGTCTCAAAAATATAAAAAAGGGCTTGAGATATGGCTCAATATACAAGTGCCCTTGGGCTCAATCCCTTGTACCAAAAAGAAAAAAGAAAGAAGTCTAATTTTAAGTCTCCTCTGAGATTCAAGGGAAATTCTTATCTGTGAGCCCCTATACAAATAAAAAAGAAGTTACATACTTGAAAGATGCATTGGCACAGGGTAAATACACCCATTCCAAAAGAGAGGAAAAGGAAAGTAGAAAGAAGGGATCAGACCAAAGCAAGACAGTAACCCAGCAGGGCAAACATTAAATTTTAAGGTCCATGTATGGCATCCTGGGCACACTGTGGCAGGAAGTGGGCCTCCAAGGGCTTGAACAGCCTCGCCCTTATGGCCTCGCTGGCTGCAAGATACATGTCTGTTCTCTTGGACTGGCTTTCTTTACTGCCTGCAGCTTTTTTTTCAGCAGGAAGTCCATGTTCTTGGCATCTCTAACTTCCTAGGGTCTTTTACAGCTTTGGCTTCTCTCTCTCACAGTTCCATGTGTCACCCTGTAGGGCAGCTTGCAGGGACTCTGACTTTATTATTTACTGCCTGGCCTCCTAGACTTTCGTTCAAAATCTTGGTGAAAGCTTTTGTGATGTTATGACACTTGTGTTTCCTTGCCTACAAAACTAGTATTGCATGGATAACACCAAAGTCTGCTGTTAGCACAAGCAGTTCCTGTGCCTGACGGAACCATGGCTGCATTGGTGTTTCAGTCAGCTTTTTCACTGATGTGACTAAAAGATCTGACTAGAACAATTTTAAAGGAGGAAACATTTATTTGAGGGCTCACAGTTTCAGAGGTCTTAGTCTTTAGAAGGCTGGCTCCATTCCTTTGGGCTCCAGGTAAGGCAGAACATCATGGCAGAAGAATGTGGCAGAGGCAAACAGGGTTGATCAGTAGAGAGGGGGAGATTCCACTTGCCAGATACACAAATATATATATATGTATATATATATCTAAAGCCAGGTACCAGTTCCCATGTCCGCCAGCCACACCCTACCACTTCTCTTACCATGCAGTTAATCCCTCTCAGGGGTATTAAATCACTGATTGGGTCAAGACTCACAACCCAGTCATTTCTCTTGTGAGTCTTTTTGCATTGTCTCACACAGCTTTTGGGGCACACCTCACATTCAGACCATGACAGCTGGCTTCTGAGTTCCTTGTCAGCTGAAATGAATTCCAGTGGAAAGATAAATGAGGTGGTCTTGGGTGGGCAGAATGTCCTGGAACTGTCTTTTAAAAAAGATTCTGCCCTAGAAAGTCTGAAACAATTTTCACTTAGACACCTTTGAAGCTGTAATGGGTGGGTTCCCACAGATTCCTGAGATGTCCTCAGGACACATTTTCTTGTACCTGCATGAAATGCTTGACTCCTTAAAAAAAAAAATTATTATTTATTTATTTTTTAGTTTTAGGTGGGCGCAATATCTTTATTTTATTTTTATGTGGTGCTGAGGATCGAACCTCGTGCCTCACTCATGCCAAGTGAGTGTGCTACCACTTGAGTCATATCCCCAGCCCTTGGCTTCTTTTTTAATGACCCTAATTTCTTCACCATCCTTGACCACAAAATAGGCACTTTTAGCCGATTTTGTCCCATCGTCCTAGATGTGCAACACCTATAAAAGCTTAAATATAGTATGTTATATAATTCAGAATTATTATATAATAATAATTGTAGCATAACTACATTATTGATTAACATTGTGTACATATACACATATGTAAGCTCTGGATTATGATTTCTGTCCTATTTTGATGTACCTGTGTAAATTTCATTGAAATATTTGTAGAATTAAAAACTTGGGACTTAATGGATTCAACATTCTTTTCTTGTCAAGCTGTGAATTTTTCAATCTATCTCCTTTGCTTTTTGTTCCCAGTTCTCAATGCAAATCTAGCAGAACCAGTGATACCCATGTTGCAGCCTGAGTGCTTTGTTGCCTTGAAATTTTCTCACCAGATAAACTAGTCTGTCCTGTTTAGGGTCAGTCTCCCATAACATCCCCAAACATGGACATAGTGCAACCTATTTTTTTTTCCTCCCACAAAGTAACAAGAATGGTCTCTAGTTCAATATCCAGTGGAGTCCACATTTTATCACCCTAGCCTTTACTGTCCACATTTTTCTGTCTTCTTCCCTTCCGTCTCTCCTGGGATGGGATACATTTTTTTAACTAGTGATTCAGTTGCTTAACAGTTTTCAGATTTTTTAATTTGTGATAGTAAAATGTAGTTTGATTCTATTTTTTTATAGAAAATTGCCTACTTTGTAAAGTTCTTGATGATATTAAAAAAGATATCTCTGCTGTATCTGGTATGACTGACTCCCTTTTCAGTCCTAATGTTGTGTTTGCTGTGTCTTTCTTTCTTGATCATTTGGTTGCTAGCATACTTGGAGTGTATTATTGTGTGGAAAAAAAGAGAAAGAAGCCATGATATTTCACTGTTCAGTATTTAGAATTTTATTTACTCCCCATGTTTCAGTATAGTACTCTGCTCTCAGCTGAACAAAACTAGAGCCTGGGTCCAGGATATCCATAAATCTGTAGTATCTTCTAGAATTATTAAGGGTTATAAATCATGGAATTAAGACTTATATTGTATTAAAGGATACATTTTTTTTTAAAGAGAGAGAGAGAATTTTTAAATATTTATTTATTTATTTTAGTTTTCAGTGGACACAGCATCATTATTTTTTATTTTTATGTGGTGCTGAGGATCAAACCTAGCGCCCTCTGCATGCCAGGCGAGCGCGCTACCGCTTGAGCTACATCCCCAGCCCCAATTTTTTTTTTTTTTTTAATAAGAAAAAAATTAGCTGGGCATGGTGGTACATGCCTGTAATCACAGCTACTGCTACCTGGAAGACTGAGGCAGGAGGATCAAAGATTGCAAGTTTGGAACCAACCTCTAAAACTTAGCAAGACTACGTCTCAAAAATAAAAAAAATAAATAAAAAGGGCTAAGGACATAGCTTAGGGATAAAACACTCTGGGTTCCAGAGTTGAGATGATTTTTTAAGTAGGCACTCAATTCCTTCCTTCCCTGGGGCGTGGAGGGCAGTTAATTGTTCATTGAATCTCCTCTGACCAAAACTTATTTACATATTTAGGGTTAAGAATTATTTTGCATTTGATGTCAGTTACCTGCAACTTACACTGTTGTGAAATAATCCAAAGGACAGTGAAAGGGTAGTATTAGAGAACCAAGGAAAATGTGTTTTAAATAACACATAGCTTTTCATTGGAGACATAGTGATATTTTTTGCTTACTCCAGATTTATTTCCAATTAAAACTCACACCAGATAATTGAGTCAGTGATATTGTGTTTGAGAAATGTGCAGGGCAACAATAAGAAACTAACCAGTTTTATATTTCTCCGTTTCAGGTTTATGCTGCTGATTGTAGTGATGGTGTTCTTCTAGAGCTTCGAAAGTATTTGCCAAAATATTATGGCATCTGGTCACCTCCCACGGCACCAAATGGTAATACTTTCTTAAAAGTACAGCTTCTAGTTTCAGTTCATAAGATTGGTTTTCTGAGTTTATATAAAGGGAAAATTAATGTGTATTATAAAAATACAGAATATATGTCTTCTTACTAATCTTTCATCACCTCACTAAACAAAGCTTATTAAAACTTTTGCTTTACCATAACCATTTTCTTAAATGGCATATACAAGTTAATGATCAGACTGTTGTTATAGTTGAATGAAAGTGTATATACTAGTATTTAATACTGTTTTAATTTATATATGTTCTTCTTTCCTCACTTATTATATAATTTCTCTTTCTATTTTGAGTAATAAAAAAATTCAAGAAAACGAATTTCTCTGCATGATTTCTCTCTATTTTATCTTCCTTCTTTACCCCTGCCTTCAGGCTTTAAGTTGTGGTCTTTTGAAAAGCACTGCAAAGTTCCTTAGAGGATAAAATAATCTATATTAAGAATAATTTTCTTAGTATTAGTTAATACTTGCAGCAGTATCTACCCCTTGAATAACTTTGCTGGAGCAGGTAGAATTTAAGCGAGTAGCCATTGTTTGAATAAGTTTAAGAATAACCTATAGTTTCTCCTCTACAGTTGTTTTGGTTGGGTCTTAAGTCATAGCATTGAAAAAGCTGATTGATACAGAAATCAAGAGCAAAATGTTAGACTTAAAACTGGTAATTATGTTAATTATAAATCAACAAATTCATTTAAAATTTTAAAAATATTATTAGACTGAATTGAAAAATTTAATGTTAGCTTTGTTTTGTTTATAGGAGGCAACAAAGACACATTTTAATTATAAGGAAACAAGGATGTGAATAAGTAAAAGGACAGGAAAAGATATTTAAGATATGTAAACACTAACAAAAATAAGCATAGCTGAGTTTAAAAAAAAAGAATAACCTCTATAGTATTTTTATTTTTCATTTTTGGTAGTACTGAGGATTGAACCCAAAGGCACTCTATCATTGAGCTACATCCCCATCCCTTTTCATTTTTTGTAGTCTTGTTAAAATGCAAATTTATAGGCATTCAGACATTTTAATTATTCAGGTTTGAGTTTAGTGATGTGATTTGTAAATAAAAGGTACAAGTTTTCTGATGTAGATCTTGAACTACATTTTGAGAGTAGAAAGACAAGGAGACTCCACTTTGAGCTTATTCTTCTCCTCATTTGTTTCCTTCAACTCATTGACTTAGTATGCCAAGTTTCATTAGTAAGAAATCATGGTATCTCCCTGTGATTATCATCAGTTAGGTTAGTTGTAAATTGATGGCTCCTTTGTATGTTTAGGACTGTCCTGTTCTTCAATTGTATGGAAAAACTGAAAGTGAGCTCAGGCTCTGTTAACATAAGGCAGAATATGCTTTATCTGAAATGTTTGGGACCAGAAGTGTTTTGGGTTTGTGAGTTTTTCAGATTTTGGAATATTTGCATATGTATATGAGATATCTTGATGGGAGCTAGGCCTAATCATGAAATTCATGATTATATGCACCTTGTAGTCTGAAGGTAATTTCTTTTCTTTATTCTTTATTTTTTTGGTACCAGGGATTGAACCCAGGGTCCCTACTGTGCAACATTCCTGGCCCTTTTTATTTTTAGTGAGACAGGGTCTCACTAAGTTGCTTCTACCTTAGTTATCTGCAAGTTGAGCACTTGATAACAGTAAACTCTTTGAGCTCATTTTCTGTATGTTAAATTGTCTTATAAAACACTAATTCTATTAGTTGACTATAACTGGAGATTTTAGTGCTAGGAAGATGAAAAGATGAGTTGAGGAAAATAAAAGAGAGGGTAGAAAATTTAAATAGTAGGCAAAAAATGACAGGTCATAAAGTATACATGATATGGAATGGTCCAGTGATATTAACACTGCCTCAGACAATTTCCTATTCCTTTCCTACTTTATTTGCTTTGGAAGGTGTTGGACAAAACTGCACCATGCAGATTTCTCAGTTTAAATTTTGCTAGACTTCATGGAATCATATTTCTACTTTTAACCTTTTGATTATAAGTAAAATAAATGTAAGATGGCCAGCTTACACGTACGTTTAGGGTACAAAATCATGAAAACAAATATTTTAGTAGATTTAAAATTTAATAAAGTATTAATTATTTAATATGGTTTGTATCTGTGCTTTACATAACTTAAATTAATGACATTATTTTTAAAACTTGGTGTGGGCACCTTATGTTCTCAGGGAAGTGTTTTATTTTATTTTATTATTTAAAAAAATTTTTTTTAGTTGAAGATGGATACAATACTTTGTTTATTTATTTATTTTTTTATGTGGTGCTGAGGATAGAACCCAGTGCCTCACACATGTTAGGTGAGTGCTCTATCACTGAGCCACAACCCCAGCCCCTCAGGGAAGTGTTTTATAAAACTAATAGTTTTTTCCTTCATAATCCAAAGTAGTAAAATGCTGAAAATAGTAAAAGTCATAAAGCCAATTTGCTCAACGAGATTATTATATAGCAACTTGAAGCATAATCACTGACCACATACATTATTTTCTTTTGAATTTTCGACAGCTTTATTTATTTATTTATAAAATATTTACTTTTTAGTTATAAGTGGACACAATATCCTCATTTTATTTTTATGTGGTGCAGAGGATCAAACCCAGTGTCTCACACATGGTAGGTAGGTGAGCGCTCCACCTCTGAGCCACAACCCTAGCCCCTGACAGCTTTATTGAGATGTAATTTACATATTATAAAACTCACTTATTTGAAACATACAATTCAGTGGTTTTTAGTGTATTCAGAGTTTTACGGTCATCACCATTATCTAATTTTAGAACATGGCCGGTGGGATTTTTTTTCTTTTATTTTAGTTGTAAATGGACACAATGATTTTGTTTATTTTTTTATGTGGTGCTGAGGATTGAACCCCGTGCCTCATACATGCTAAGCATGTGCTCTGCCACTGAGCTACAACCCCAGTCCCTGGTAGAATGTTTTTAATATTAATATTCATATTTATTAGCAATTATCTTTGAAGATTTGGGGCTAGTTATATGTAATAAATCTCATTTGTACTTGTGTATAAACACTTAGAAGTATATTACATGTACCATAAAGAGACCTTCAGATATTCGATAGTTATTTGGAGTGATAGAAAAGTTTAACATCAAGAACATGAAGTAGGGGGCTGGGATTGTGGCTTAGTGGTAGAGTGCCTGCCTAGCATGCATGAGGCACTGGGTTCGATCCTCAGCACCACATAAATGTAAAATAAAGATATTGTGTCCACCTAAAACTAAAAAATAAATATTTAAAAAAAAAAAAAAAAAGAACATGAAGTAGGTTTGAGCAGATGGAGAGTTTTCAAATAGAATTGGTAGGTTTCTGGATTCACGCTTCTAATCAGGTTTCAGGAAGCATGTACTGAAACAAGCCAGCACACATCCGTTCCTCACCTCCGTTTACTCCAAATTTGGGGGCTCACAGTCTCTCTTAGAATTCTTTCTACTATAAACTTTTTTTTTCTGAAAAAAAAAATGGCTGGATATTGATGTGGAAAAGCAATTATCTCTCCTTTTTTGCATTTGGCTTAATTTTTTGTGGTGATTCTTCACCTGGCCTTAACTCCTTTTTTGGCAGATTCAGAAAAGAAGATAGTAGGGCTGGGGTTATAGCTAAGTGGTGGAATGCTTGCCTGGTAGTTTTAAGGCACTAGGTTGATCCTCAGCACCACATAAAAATACATAAATAAAATAAAGGCATTGTGTTCATCTACAACTAAAAAAATTTTTTAAAAAAGTATAGTAGATTGTACAGATAAAATTGGTGAAAAACGTACTGAAACTTGGAATTCATATTTTAATAATTTATATAATCATTAATGTTCATTAAGGGGAACTTGAATAAGTCATCTTTCAATTCCCTGAGTGTCCCCCACCCTGACTCCTTTTAAACAGATGGCTAGTTGCCTTCATCTTTATTGTTTAGTTATCCATGATTTAACATTTTTTTTTCATAATTCAGATGTTTCTGATTTTCTTCCTTTGATGCTGGGAAGTTTTCTGGCTCTCTTTCTTACAGTATCAAGGCTATGTTCAAGCAGTAGAAAATTTGCTATAGGTTTTTTTTAAAAAAATATTTTATTAGTTGATGAACCTTTATTTATTTGTTTATATATAGTGCTGAGAATCGAACCCAGTGCCCCACACATGCTAGGCAAATGCTCTACCACTGAGCCACAACCCCAACCCTATAGGAATTTTTTATACTTAACATATTATAAAACAATATAAGTATCGTATGTAATTTATGTTTACAATAATTTTTTTTAAAGAGAGAGAGAGAGAATTTTTAAATATTTATTCTTTAGTTTTCAGCATACACAACATCTTTGTATGTGGTGCTGAGGATTGAACCTGGGCCACACGCATGCCAGGCGAGCACGCTACCGCTTGAGCCACATCCCCAGCCCAACAATAATTTTATATACGTGTGTGCGCTTGCATGCGTGTATGTGTGTGTGTGTGAGTGTGTTTTGACAGTACTGGGGATTGTACCCAGGGGCTCCTGTATGCCAGGCAAGTGTTCTACCACTGAGCTATATTCCTGCCCTTAATAATATATATGTATATTTATACACAAATATACATACATATATATATAAATATATATGTCTATATAATATATAAATATTATATAGACAATTTGAGACAGGCTCTTGCTAAGTTGCCCAGGCTGGCCTTGAACTTGAATCCTCCTGCCTTAGCCTTGCAAGAAGCTGAGATTACAGGCATGTGCCACCATACCCAGCATGCAAATTATATATATTTAACAAGATAGAAAAGTTTTTTTCATTCACAGTAACCTATATAATCTTATATTATGATCAACAACATGAAAATATATAAATATTTTAAGCATACTAAAAATGTTCTTGGTAAAGCCAATGAGAAATCTTAATAGTCTGTTTATAATAGCATGAAGTATATTTTGGAATGATTTCTACCACAATTTTTTTAA